TGCCGTTGCTTAACCTTGCCTTGCTGTTGTAATTTGGCACCTATTTACATTTTCAACGTATTTATAATATTTTATTAAAACAAAAGAAAATGTTTAAATATTTTATAAATAATACCTATTATTTAAAATTTGTTTTATTTGCCCTTTAAAGTATGTAGCATAACGCGCCCTTTTTTACCAGTCCTCGCCTGTGTGCCAGGATGACACAACGTCTCCGCTCTGCAGAATCGTTTTTCGTTTGCAATGTCTTGCGATCGAATTCAAAATATGTTAAACATCCATTACCGCGACATACTCGTAACACACAACTGTACAGCAGATCAGCACCCACTTGTCCACCCTTTATTGTTTGTATAGGCCCAAAAAAAAAACACCGGCCACAGGTCATCATCATCAGTTCACATTATATTTGCGCATCGCTTACGGTTGTGCGTTTATGGCTTAAACGGAGTTGTATAATTCGATTTCCTTAATTATAGAAGTCGATGGAAGATTATTCCGAGGCGTGCAAATGGTTTTTATACTTCTATAAAATAATTGTATTCAACATTCGTTAAACGAAATTCAATAATTTACTGTCAACTGCGTTAAGTTAATAACATACGTAGGTACATGTCTTCATAATATAAACTTACCTGTTGAGTTAAAAACTTTTATTACTTGTTAACTGCCTACTACTAGATACTATACCCACATCGACTTATAACAATACGTGCTTAGCGTGCAAGTCAGGTGACTTAACTAAATCAAGTCAATTATTTTCATCAACTTTCCCAACTTAAAAGTTTGGAGAACCATTACGTATAAATTAGAATGGTACACGGACATTATCTTATTATTCATTATTCAAACTATACTACAGTTTTACACTCTATATTTAAGTTAGACATAATATTAGCATATGCATAATACAACGCTATTATAATATGTGATCATGCCATAGATACCTACGTAAAATACTGTTTTATAATAAAGTTTTTACCGATCGTCGTTGGGATAAAGTAATTTTTTTGGATGATCGAAACTTTACAAACTCAAAAGCTAAAATATCGGTAAGTATTCAAATATTATAGATTTTTTTTCCTATCCGTATAATAATATTGTCTACCGTGTCACAGTGTGACTATTTAAAATGCACGGAAAATACTAAGGAAAAAAACTTGATGGGTCTATCGAGGAAACATTTTTTGAACACAATACGAAAAAAAACTAAAAGTAGTTTTAGGGCATGGAACTTAGTGAAAAAAATATTACATATTTTGAACGTGAGTGGTAAGTTACTTTTGTTAGAAAGTTGTAAGTATGGAAAAATATTTATCTTTTTTTATATTTGACATGTTTGACAGCTTTACATTTTATAATATATGATCAATTTTAGACTAAAACCTTTTTATAGGCTTACCTCTATTCGGAGGATTTTTTTATTGAAAATATATAGGGAAGTTGAAGTCCAGGTTAGGTTGGGTTCTCTTGAGAAACGTTTTGTCGTTCTACACAATATTAATTGTATTTATTTAATTATATTTAAAGTTCATCTCGAGTGGCAAACACTATGGAATAGTACACATAATTTCATAAAGAAATATAATTTTAAAAACATTTAACGAATGATTCAACCTAGTTATCGAAAATAAATCGAAATCAAATAAATGTTCATTACTTAAACGTAAGATTCTATTAACGGGTGAACTATTTAGTAATAAAGTACAATCACTAAATATGATCAACGAATAGGCGGTTTTTAGTGTTGGGACAGTATTCATAGATAGACCTAAAAACCGATGTGCTCAAAATAAATCAAGGCAGCTGATACAACAATTTAACACTAGGAAAACGCATTTCCTAAACATGTTTGTATGCTAATGACCAAAATACTTTCAAAACTTTCATAAAACTGTTAAGACTAATAATATTATTATTAAAAATTATTACCGTTTATAAACATATTTACTTTTAAGTTGTGTTTTTTTTTTTGTTAATTTGTGGAACATATGAAAAAACATTAATGACAAAAAATTCACTGGACAATTTTCTCTCGATTGTTAAAAAATAAAAGTTAAAACAAATTTCCTAAAACTTGTAAAAATTACTCTATAAGTCACAAAAATTAGCTAAAAACCAAAAAATACCAAAAATCCAAAATAATAATTATAAGGTAGTAGATTTGTTTGTGATCGAAACACATTTAAACTGAGAAAGCATCGTCTATGATATTTCAAAAAAAGATGCTAAAGTCATCAACAACCAGGACCCACTTATAATATTTTAACCGACAATATTATAATGCGTCTTCGTTGTTCAGTCTGTAATAACGCACCTATTGCGTTAAACTATTGATTTATTACAATTTGACGGACTGAGCCGTGTTTTTTGTACGGTAAAATAATAGTTACAGTAGGTACATGAACGCATTTTCATAATATAACAAATAATATATAGATTTACAATATTACCGTGCCTATAGGTTAAACTTTTATAAGACAGCACTCTAAGTTGTTAATTTAGTTTAAAAGGAAGCCTTTATGGAAGCCTTAGTATGGTGATTCGTAAATTATATTTTTCGGTTGATGGTGGAATTGGGTAAAGTGGGTAAAATGTTGAACAGCTCTTCGTGGTACTTTATAACAGATTAACAGACGGCAGTGTGGGCGGCGCGTCCAAAAGCGGAGATAGTCTTATGATATTATTAATTATTATTGTCATGACGTATACACAAAAATGAACGAGGCTCTTCAAAATCGCATTCGCGGGTTAGACGGGTGTGCCTGAAGTGTTTGGTTACACCCGAGACGAAATGAACCAGCGTTATCCCTCGGAAACCACTGCAATAAGGTGAGAGCAATGAGTGATCTCGGACAGACAAAACAAATAGAAAGGAAAGGATTGTAAACGCCAGTCGGACGACTGTAATAGCAAAGTCTAATGCCCGTTACAAAGCTAATCGATTAGGCAAGTGAATTACTAAGATAAATAAATTACATTAAACACTACGCTAAAACTATAAACGGTGCATAATTAATATTTATTTGAAACACAAACGACCCTTTAAGACTATACGTATTCGATTCAGCGATCCAACGAAATTCCCCGACACACAGAATGAGAGTTTAATAATGTATAGGTACTCATACATATAAGCTGGATGTGAGTCGTAATGATACCTACGTCATCATTATAACGACGATACGGCACAACAGTGATAATATTACGGTCAGAGACGTATAAACACTTTATATACGAATCGTAAATATTCGAAAGGACTAGGTCTCAGAGCGGCGTTATTAATCGTTTGAAAACGATTGGACACAATACCGCATCGGTGTATCCACGAAATATTGGTGGAAATAAAATGAAATGTACATAATAATATGTTAAAAGTAAAGTTTTGGACGCACATACTAGTTCAACAAAATACTTTGAGACACGGTAACTTAAAAAAAGGTCTAATCTAAAATGCAGCCCCGGCTGTTGTACGTATAATATCATGTCCAAGATTTTTGAGATATTTTGTTTTGCATATTATTATTATCCGAGTTGTGGGGCCGCCCAGTTCGTATTTACCATTTCTAGATGCTTTTATCACACATCCATACCCATAATATATTACTATCGTTGTCCGTATAATAATAATTACAGGTGACAATCATAATACTATAGGTTTAAGTTTAACATTTTGTCATATTACCAAATTTATTTTATGAAACTTTCCAAAAATATATTGTTATGGAAATAAAAATGTATTTCGCTCGTCTATCGTGCAGTAATTAAACTCTGCTATCAACAAACATTACAATAAATTATTCCAATTCGTCTCTCAGTTCCAAGTCTAACTGGTTTACTTTATTTTTTAACATTAACTCTATCGTACTTTATTTTAATATTAATGTTTCATTGTTCATAATATTTTAAGACCTTTCTATCGTGTTACTATACTATGGTCGATTGTTTAGTAATAATAGTTACAAAATATTTATAAAATTCGAATTTATAAAAAAAAATATATCCATCAAGTTATTTTAACCATACCGCAATGTACGTATTTAAGAAAAATATTACAAAGTCTTAAGAATTTAAAAACGACTTTTTCAACATATCTACAGCAATAACGCTAGCAGACTGTAAGAGTGAAGAACAATAAAGGAAGTTCAGTAATATATAATAGAACAAAATTATTACAGGTACCAATAAACAGGTCTTTGAAAGTCATCCTGATTTAAAATAATATTATTGTTCTCAATAAAGTGTTGTTCTATTTGATTATTTTACAACTTACGACTATAATACTAATGCACGCAAACTCTAATAAAATATTGTCAAAGCCAGATTTTAGCACGAATAGCATTTTGCGGGTTCGGGTTACACGTGGATATCAAAATAATATAATAAAGGTTAAAATCGGGGCAGTCATCAAATTCCTAGGACTTTTCTAAAAAAAAAACCGACTCCAAAGCTAGGGGTATAATTGCAACGATGTGATGTAAACGTATTTTTGATTTTGGCTTCGGGGAAAAACCGCATGAGACAGCGGCTTTTGAGATCACCCTTTTATCAGGCGATAAGACGTATGTATATCTTTACGATACGAAATCGTAAGTAATAAGCAGCATAGGTGTGTTCGACTTTTCAATTTAAACACAGATGACGCGATTAAAAATATATTTTTCACATAGCCATTTTCTAAACGAGCATAGCGCCCGATTATTATTGGTTAGGTTTCTGATTTCCTGCACAATATAGTTGCTCTCGATAAAGCATTGTCCTGTGCGATAAAATATTATCAAAAACGGCTTTTTGCACGAATAACATTTTGCAGGTTCTCCGGTTGTTCGGGTAACGCGTGGTATGCAAATAGCGTTAAGATCGATTAGGACAATATTTCTACGACTTTCCCCCCCCCCCCCCCCCCCCCGATGAACCCAACGCCATACCCGATAAGAGAAGCCTCGGGCTAAGTACCCAATACTTTAATTTCGTCATACGATACAAAAATTTGGACTCACTTCGGCGAACGACTTTTTGGTGTACTCGTTGAGGGCGGACGTCCACTCGCCGAGCAGATAATCGACGGCCGACGGTTCCCCTCCGCTGCCGGCCACGGTCGCGGCCGCGTCGTACAGCCACTTGAACACGTCGTTCGTCCAGCGCACCGCGTCCTGGTCGTTGCCGGTGGCCGCGGGCGGCGGCCGGCGTTGGTGGTGCTGCGGGTGATGGTGGTGCATGTGGTGGGCCGCCTGCTGCTGTTCCGTCGAGTACGCCTTGCTGGCGGCCGCGGCGGCCGGCACGGCGGACAGACCGGCGACGACGCCGGCCACGGCCGCGGACGTGCGGCCCGTCTTGGAGCCCAGC